CTGAATGAAAGGAAAGGAACATGGCATAAAACCCGTTTCATATTATCCTTCCCCCATCAAGGAAATCTTGTTTTCTTTCCTGCAGAAAAACTATGTTTCTTTATCCCAACATGTTAACAGAAACCAATGAAAAGAAATAGGCTGCTTTGTGCCCATCAATAGAATCTATATAGCATCTTTTCCCCCAGGGATTAATTCAGCTTTTGATTAAATCTTTCTGAGATTTAAATCATGATGTTACAAACCTCCAAGGAACTCCTCTATGAGTTGTGACCTTCTTTATTACTCTCTGCTGTTTGATAAAGTATGAAGATTGATTTATAATGGTGTATAATGTGTTTGAAAACAAGGAATGGCAATAAGAATTGAAAAATGTAAGATTAATATAAAGTAAATACTGCAAAAAGTACACTTTGGTTAAAATATTCTATAATTAATGTTGAGTTACAACTGTGTAGCTAGTAACACTAGTGTCAAATGAGTATAATAATGTTGTTAGGGCTGTAAATTATATCCAATGATTAGCTAAATAATCCTACAATGGAGAGAGAACCAGCAATGCTGAAAAGGGATTTTGAATATCACATTGTACAGTTTAGACAGATTTAGTTTAGAGGACTTTTGAATTGAGACAAGCTCCTTTTAAATAAACTATTCATATTCAGTGTTCATTTATTTTTATCAGCCTAATTTTGGTTTCAATAATTATTTTGCCATTAGTATCATCAAGGATGGAAGTGATTTAATGTTTTGAGGACAACATGAAATAAATCCTTTATTTTTAATCAGAATATCCTAGTACCAGGCCAGGAGCTACTACTGTTGCTTCTTCAAATCCCCCCTTTCCTCTCAAAAGGTTTTTAAGGGTAAAAAGTTAACCCTTTAAAAGAAAGACCTGCATTATTCTAATGTCCTTGCTGGGTCCAGCCAGAAGATGAAAAATGTCGTATGCAATTTAAGCATCGATGGACACAAGGTAATCCACCAGGCATGTTCGGTAGCCACAGTTGTAGGTGAGGGCCATATTTGGGTAAGATAATGTTAATTTTTATTTTCTGTTTTGATAAAACGACTGGCCCATCTTAGAGTTGTATAAAATAGACATAGAACACTGAGCAGTGTTTCTCGTGTTCTGTAGCAGATTTCAATGTACTATTGATAGCTCTATCACATTTCCAGTAATTACAAACCCTTTCTTCTCTAGGAGATGGGGGGCAAGGGCTGGGATATATTTAGCCACCTTTCCCCAAAGCCATGTTTATGGTAGGTCTTGCAATGCAGGTGGCTGGGAGTGGGGACGACCATCTAAAATCAGGAGAGGGCAGAGCACGCACAAGTGCATTCTCTGTCATCTCTGTCATCAGGACCACCAGTCACCTGCGAGACACAGCAGACATCCTGACAGCAAGCTGTGCCAGCAGCTATCAGCCCATCCCATATGACTTACACACGATGGGGGCTGCATCCTGTTATAAGTCTTTGCGACATGTTCAGTCCATCTACAGAATTGCTTCCTAAGCTGAATATTCAGCAAGATTCTCACTAGGGGTGATGGCTTGTACTTAAAAATACACATCTTCTGTACAAAAGCAGAGTTAATCCACTTCCTAAATGCCCACGTCATCTCTCATTATAGAAACCACTTCCGCCTTTGCCATTTGAAAGGAGAAAAGGTAAAATACAGAAGGTTTACGTTACCTGAGAGCTGAAATCCATCCATGAATGTGGAGAAGCGGGGAGAAAGGGAGGGAGATCCAGAGAGGAAACAGAATAATAATAAGCGACTAATGTGCACTGATCTGAGAAACATGCCAGGAGATTGGTTACAATAAATAAAAAAAGCAGAAGTAGATTTGAAACATTCGTTTCCCTTTATTAGCTCAGTGAGGCTGATGTGTACTGCACATTTAAAAAAAAAATCACAGGAATTTTCATACAATGAATAAAACCACAACAATACATGTAGAATTGGCAGGTGGAAAAAAAAAAAAAAAAGCCCGGCAAGGGCTGAACTAATCGCTCACTTTCCCTCTTCAGCATAGTTCAACCAACAGTGTTACACTTTCACCTACAAATCTTAAAGTAGCTCCATCAAATCAGCAGTTCACATTATTGAAAATGTCTGTCACATAGGTACAAATTTAGAATCATCACATTATATTACATGGCTATTCTAGGTCATCTATAGATCAGGTCTTAGACTACAGTGATTGAAGTTCTCGTTACAGCCATCAAAAAAGGACACATAATCATTACCTACTGTAAGCTCACATCTAAAGGCATGAAAAGGTTTCCTTTTTTCAACTGACCCAACCATCATACCCCAATAGTGCAAAGTTCCTTCTCTGCTGCTTTGAATGTTGACAGCCCAACCGCCTTGTTCTCGGAGTCGTTTAGCAAAAATTGATTTTGTTGCACTGGAAGAATTATTCCGCTACATCTCTTAAAAAAAAAAGCCCACATTTCTAAAGCACCAGTTCGGTCACCCAAATTGTAGATGTGGTACTTACCACAGCGTGAAGGCATTGGCCTGCGGTCATCTAAAAATCCTAGAGTTCTATGCTGAAATTTGCCTCCATTGAAGATGGGGTGCATGTGTTCATTTGAAATATTCTCTCCAAAAGAAAAATTAAAAATAAAAATAAAAGGAGCACAGTTTACATTTTGATGGGCTACCCACAGGGTCTGCATAAGATACAAAAAGCTCTATTCAGTTGGGTTAATGATTCTCTCTTTGAACTCATTTTAGATGCAATTTGAAGTCCATGGAGGAAAACTATCTTCATGGTAACAATATTTGTCAGGCCAGGGTGGGGATAAATTAATCCTCAATGTGAAATCTGTAGTGTTGTCTTTTGATAAGTAAGAAAAGAAACCAAGTGTTTTACTCATGTCAACAATTCAGGGCAAAAAGGAGAATGTATTTAAAATTGGATCACAAAAATTTAAAGGCAAAGTAGAGAACGCATCTGGTCCTTGAACACATAATATGATTTACTAAATATTGATTTCTTAAAAATAATTTATTGCTCTTAATAGTCTTTTTTTATTATTATTATTCTACAACAGAAGATACTCAAAATTCCAAAAGAAAGACTGTAAACTTTAGTTTGGCGTTCACACAGAGTTAAAATATCTGCATTTAACCTACAGAACAACAAGAATTAGGCGGATTAAAGATATGTTACTGCCGTAACGCAGAACCTGTGAACAAGTTCTTTTATTTCATATTTTTTTATTGCTTTCTATCTACTTAGAAATAAGAAGCCAAAAAATCAAGCAAGCATCCGACAGGACAGACAGTGGATTCACTCAGAACACAATATGCTGGTGATAAATGAATGCAGCTATCAAAATTAGCTGCATTGGCCTGGGGGTGAAATCCATTTTATAAGATTGTGTTGGGCGAGAGAAAGGAAAAGAACGATTAAGTAGTAGGTATCGCACATCTTCCAGAAAAGTCATGTCGGCCAAACCGTAATCGAATCTCAATATAGAAACTTGAATACACACTCCAAACTTTACTGACTTCCATTGCAGGGCTCCGCACTCAGATGAAATCCTGATGCTCAAAATGGAGGTTTTTCTGAAGTTTTTATTGAATTTAGCAGAAGCAATGTCATCAAGAACAACATCATGGTCACGTCAGAGGCCAAGCTAGTGCAAGTAGAAACACCGCTTCTGCAAAAGCTGAATTTCCCAAATGAAACATTTCAACTCCAACCTGACAATTGCCATGCATCCTAGGTAGAAAATTTCCACTGGCTTTATTATATTCATCATCTCATAATTTATAATAAATAGGCTATCTGCAACTGATAAATATGTCTCTTTAGTAAACAAAGGAATGAATTATCAGTATTTATACAGGATGCATAACTGTAAAAAATACAGATAAATACCATCATCATACTCTGCCAAGGGAAAGAGATACTGGCTTCAAGAATAGTCTTCAGACACACATTAATTATTGTAAAAATCATACTGTAATTATTACCTCAGCATTTTGTATCAAATTAAAATCACAAAAATTAAAACGAAACAGCATTTTAAAAAGATTTCTGACCTCTAGTTTCAAAACTACTGTTGATAGAGAAAATAAAAACATTTCTTAATGGTTACCCATTGAGAGACTTTACATAAAATCATGATATCTCCTAGAAAAATTTTAGATGAGAAAATTTCATTCCCCTAACAAATCCAGTGTATAAAACTTCAAAGAAAAACAAGCAACAAGAAAATGTGGAAAAATATCGCATAAGTGGTTAATACCTTTAGGGGGCTAGGATATTTCTTGACAAGATGCTTGGATTGAAGCTCACCTAAGAAGGGATGGATGTGCGTAAAGCATCATTTTGTTGTTGTTGCACTCGACGGACACACACACTGTCTTTTTTGTTTTTACAATCAAATATATATAAGCAGTAAGTTCAGCTTCTAAATATGTTAGTGTACAATAATTGTATCACCTCATAATTACATTTGAATATTCTTGATTAAGAAAAATTTAGCAGTTTTGAAAAGAAGGCTGCATTTACAGTGCATAGCTGTAACAAAAAAGAACATTGTTGTATAGTATGTACACAAAATAAAAATACTCCATTTAACATCTGTAAATACTTCACTACATCAGAGAATGTAGCAATTACACTATCTGAACACATACCAGAGAGTTCTACCCAACTCTCGCTAGTAATGTAACACCGTGCCCGCTCCTCAGAAAGAACCACCGAACGAGCTTGACCATTGACAAGGCTTTTGAAATTTGCAGTGGAAGGATCAACATTTTGGACATTTACATGGGTGTCAGGACAGAGGATGAACTACAGAAACTTCAAAATGTTAGGAAAGTTTAGCATTCCGGCGCCCGCAGTATCCTCTCCCACCCAGACTCCATGGCAAAAGGAAAAAAGAAGAAAAAGAGAGACAGAGAGAGAGAGAGTGAAGGAGAGAAGGAGAGGGCTAAAGAGATGGGAGGGGGACGGATGGAGAGAGGGAGAAAGAGAGAGAGAGAGAAAGGATATTAGTTCTACAGAACCTGTGGTTTCTTCGGGATTGTCATATAACCATTATGTTATGAGAGAAAGCTTGCTTCAAGTCAAGTTTGCACTTTCTTAAAAAACAGAGTACAGAGGTTGATGCCCAGACATCAGTGGCTGTCATTTTAGGGTGGTTTGTGGTTGGTTGGTTTTCTTTCCTTTTGAATTTATGCATTTTTTTTCTTTTTGAATAGAATATGAACATTTTGAAGTTCTAGGTTTTAAGTGTGTCTTCATGGAACTGCTGCCATTTGAAGTGGTTTGCCCTGGCACACTCTGGTCAGGTGCCCCCAGTCCCCACCTGTGCATACATACTTGCCCCAAAACAGGCGTGCGCATGCGCACGCACACACACACGCGCACACACGCGCACACACGCGCACACACACACTCCATCACCAAGAGACTCCAGGGAAAGCAAAGCTGACACCCATGAATAAACATGTGCTTACTGGATATCCATTCTGTCTCTTGCCTCTTCAGCAGCTGTGTTCATGTAAACCATTGTTGTTGTTCTTGTTGTATTGTTGTTTTGTTTTGTTTTGTTTTTATACAGAGAGTGTAAAGTAGGAGAAATTCCTAAGTATGACTTGTAATAGTCAGTTAGGGAAGGACGCGCTGTCCCGTGAGGTATTCACCGTCCCTCTGTCATCTTCAGCCAGGGAACATGTTACCTGCGCAAGCTTCTCTGAGCTTCTTTCAGTAAACTATCGAAATCCAAAGAGTCATACTTGCTCTTGGTGGAAGCAGGGTCAAAGTCATCTGAGTTTGAATCTGCAAGAAACCCAAGCCAGGTTAGACACACTCTCGTCCTTAACTCAATTGTCCAATTCAAGATTACTTGATTCAATAACAACTTATCCAATCGATATACTTTTAAAAATATACCCGACTTTTATTGATATGTGTATTGATTTTAAAAATATACCCAACTTTTATTGATATGTGATTGATTTAGTGATATATTTGATATATTTTATTGGTGTATTATATATGTATATAATACATATAAATATTTGCAGGGGGTATTTATACCCAATATTTTATTGTTGTATTATTTATAAGTCAATATATTATTTATACTTATAAATTTACATATAATTATATGTAATGCATAAAAATAAATATTTAAGAAATATATGTTTACAGAGAGAAAGGAAGAGAGAGTATAAGATTAGATAACATGTTTACAGAGGGTAAGGAGTGGTAAACATTCAAAATACTACTTTACGACTCATTTTAGTCTTAATCCTAGGAGGTAATCAGAACAAACTTTACTATTTCTAATCAATAGCAGTGTATTCAGTCAATATACTGTAAAAATAACCATGTCCTGCCCCCTTCCTGGTATGTTAAATGATCTACCCAAGGTTTCTCAACAACTCAAGTGGAGAGGTAAGAGTAGAAGCCGGAACTAATCTTCCTATTCAGTGGGATTGACTTCACTGAAAATAAAAGCCAGGTGAGTGGGAGGGAGAGAGAATCATCAGAACTTCACCTATTCGCCACCTGGCCGCTCTCCTTTCAGACATGAGGAACATATGATCCACTTATCTATTCCAGTACCTTGGGAGCACCCCAGCAATAGTGGTACAAATTCACCCCGAATTAGAAGGTATAGGGAAAAGCTTCATGTCCAGAGAAGGCAAAGTCAACCTCAGTAATACGAGAGGAAAAATACACACGTACAGATAAAAACACTTGAACTAGTCCAAGTCAGCTTTTGTGAAGAGTTCCACATACTTCACATAGCCCCTTAACAAAATTGTCATGTTTCAGCAATGATGGATATAAAATGAAATTCTTATTCTAAATATTTCTGGTATTTCTCCAGTGACATTTATAAAAAAGTCAGATATTTCTGCTGGTCTTGCAAATGAGGAAAGACATCTTAGAAATATAATAGAAAACCTCTTGCAAATAAATTCATTCTTTTGAGAGCACTTACTTGAAGGGAAAACCAGTCCTTTCTGGGAAGTATTAACAATCCTACTAACAGACAAACATTTCTGTGTTTTATCTGGAATGTTACGAAACAGAAATGTCCGAGGTGACGGAAGAGTATGAGATTAGATAATATGGTGGCATACTCATTGACCTCACAAGCTGTCTGGCTGAAAAGGCCATAATCCTTCAAGCTCTCCAGCACTAGGCTGATTTTTCACCCTAGCTTCAAACTACCTTAGCCATCTTAGATTTAAAGACAAGGAAATTCCTTCACTTTTTTTTTCCCTTTCATTCTTACCATCGCTTGTATTTACTGACTTTTTGCCAAGCGAGTTTTTCCAGGTAAGAAAAGCAATTATGGTTGGCCTCAGAAATAAAAGACAGGACAAAAATGGCCAATCTTTCCTAACATCTTAGGTAGTCAATTCTTAAATTACACCGGCTCCCATCCTTCTCTTCACAGATAGCCTAATGGGCAGTTGGCTTGTATCACTAAAGCTTCATGAGCAGCTATCATTCCAATCAAAATCTTTTTTTGTAGACAGACACACAGAGAAAGTCCTTCTCACTGCTTGAGATTAACCTGAAATCAGAATTCCACTTGCATTATAAATAAAGTTAGAAGAGCCTTCCGATGACCAGAGTCTGTGTGGCATGAAGGTCAGCACAGAAACGTCAAGAACACACATACAGAGATGCCTGGGTGGCTCAGTCAGTTAAGTGTCTGCCTTGGGCACAAATCATGATCCCGGAGTCCTGGATCCCAGATCGAGCCCCACACCGGGCTCCCTGGGAGTCGGCTTCTCCCTCTATCCATCACTCTGCTCATGCTCTCTCTCTCTCTCTCAAATAAATAAATAAAATCTTTAAAAAAAAGAACACACATACAGTTCTTTCCTTGAAGGCCATTCTGAGAACATTTAAAATGTCTTAACTTTGGGTTACTCTACATCAAACCCAGAATTTCAATGTTTCCACATTTTCATTAGCAAAAAAAAAAAAAAAAATTTGGAAAAAGTGGTTCTCGAGAGTTTCTTTGCTATGAAATATGATAGCTGGTATTTACATGTCTGTAATCACTTACACAGGTGGGCTATGTCACACAGTAGGCATCCACAACATCCTTTCTGTTGTATGAATACATGGTTACATGCAATTCCTGAGAAAACAACATCTACGCCACCCCTTTCCCGCCACTAAAGGATACTGCAACACAAGTAAGATATAATAGAATTTTGACAGGAAAAAGCCAAAAGCCACTCTAATTATTCTTAAAAATAAATTTCTATAAATAATGATACTATATAAATAGAAACATATCACAATACAACTGTATTCTTACCACCCAGAAAACTGTTGGCACAAAGCAGGTACTAAGGTTAGAATTTGTTGAATGAATGTATTACTCTTGAACACCAGCATTTTAAAACACCATGGTTGGAACATCTTTGCGTTGGGATCTTGGGATGATTTACCAATGAATGCCAAGGGTATATACAAAGTTATGTATCTATTCGAGATGCTGATAATGTAATAGTTTTTGAGTTAATAAAGAATTTGTGATGAATGTTATTTCATTTTTCTTGTATATTTAAGTATAAGTTCTATACCATAACTAATTCCTGATGAATACATGATCATATTCGTAATACTGACACATCCTCCTCTTCTGGTCCTAGAGTCCTAATTTAATTTGTATCTTTCGTCTTTAGGATTTCTCATTGAGGTCTTTGAGAAAGATCCATCTGTTTATAGGACGGGAAACAGACTCACAGATTACAGATTCATGGAAAGTAGGCTTACATACTGGCTTTACGTAGGTAACCCTGATTGTCCCTTGAACCCGGAGTCTCACTTATAAAACTGGCTCGTAACATCAACTTGGAATCATCACATTCTGTACTAATAGTGTTGTAGTAATCACTAGGTGGCCCTAATAATAGAGGAATAGGATGTGTGAGCTAACTTAATTTGGGGAGCAAAACAGAAAAAGAAATAATTAAATCTATGTAAAATGATAGGTCGCTTTACTCTTGGTAAGATTAATTGATATCACATCATTTTCACTAACTCTCAACAGACACACATGTGAGCTCCCAAGCCCTCTGAGTGTCCGTACAATCTCATGGTCACCAAATTCACTGGTCATGCCCCAAAGCATTTAACTCGAACTCTCCAGGGGACAAACATAGGACCCATATGAACGCATGTTGTTCAGTTCCAGAGCCGGCCCCTGATGTTGATGCTTTCATTTCAAAATAACTTGACATTTCTAACAGCTCATTGTCATCATTTCTATTATAATCATAGCTACTGTTTATTGAGCACCTACTTTATGCCAGATACTGCGCCAACCACATCACAAACATTTATTGAATCTTTGCAACAACATTACGAGGTAGTTCACAAATGAAGAACTGGAGGCAGAGGGAGCTGTTTGCTTAAGGTCAGAAGCTAAGTCAGGTTTCAAAACCAGGTCTACAAGATTCCAAAGCCAGGGTTCTTTCCACTACACCATGCCTACGCTCAGCTCAACTTCCCTTCGTGAAATTGTAGGGCTTGAGGGAATTGGAAAAATCCATGCTCCTACAACACACATCAAACATACTTTTCAGGAAATACAGAGCCAGCTTAGCAACAGCAAAGTTTCTATTGCTGCTGGCGAGGCAGGAAGATAACAAGAGGGGAAGCATTCTTCTTAGACATATTTCAGGGAGGCTCTGGTTCAGTTTGGAAATACCATCCAATCCTCCCTCTACCAGTGATGAATCGTGATTTAAAGGCCCCTCTAGGTAGCTTATTTTAAACTCGAGATGTTTTGAAAGACTGAAAACACCCTGGCCTTCATCACTGAAGAAAATAAGTCAAATCAACTTAAGACTTCAATCTGTCTTGACTGTTTTTATCAGCCAACATTTGAACAAATGACTTGTCACCTTTTATATTTTCATCCCTGGGCCTCTGTCTCTCTTGACAGTTGGCTGCTTCTCCCCTGTTTCATACTATCTATTTAGTTTGTGAAGTGAATTATAGCATATTCCCCCTGAACAATGCACACCACCTATATCAATTACTTTAGGAAGGCATCACTTTGGTGGAGGTGAGAAAAAAAAAAAAAATCCCTGTATTTGGTATTCATTTCTTTCTTTATACCAAGAAGTGCACACAGAGATATAGTAATGCTGATGAATACATTTATATGTTAATTTTATGATGATTATTATGAATTGACTCAAATCAATTACGTCATATGCACAAGACATTGGCCATTTTCCCTTCCTTCATTCCTTCACCAAAGGATTTAAAGGCTTACAATACGTACATTAAATAGGGAATGGCATACAAACGGACCAAATTAAAATTGGGAAGAAAATTAAGATGTCCATTTTGGCATTATTTATAATGCCAAAAAAATTGAAAATTGAATAAATGTTTAGCTATAATGGAATGATTAAATGTAATGGTACTCACCTAACACAATACTGTGCAACCATTTTAAAATAAATCGATTAAATTATTTTTAATCCCATGAATATGGTAGAAAATGAACTTCCATAAATAATATAAATTGAGAAGAGCTGAATTTAAAAATTGATAGATCTAAATTATGTGACCTCAACTATAAGAAATTAAATATCCTGAGACAAAACAATGGACTATAAATCACACAGTGGATCTCTAGGTGATGGGTTGACAGGTGATATTACTATTTTTCCTTATACCTTTATATTTTCCAAATTTTACCCCGTGAGTCTATATAACTTTTATAACAGGAAAAAAAGAAGGCTTACAAATGCTTCAGTTTCCTTATCTATAAAAGGAGGATGATAATAATAATAATAATCACCTCCCAGGATTGTTCTCATAATTAAATAAGAAAATGCTTGCAGAGCCCTTGGCACAGTGCCTAGCATATGGAAACACTAAAAAAAAAGGGGGGGGTTTCTCCTGATTTAGCATATGAAATTATATTTTCTTCTCTCAAGGTGTAATTTGTAGAATATGTCTTAACATTTCTAAGAATTTGTAGAATAATAAGGAAAAAAAGAGCCAGAATATTCTGTTGCATATTCTGTTCCATAAGACCATGATGATAATGCCAAAGTTTATACAGAAGGATTCAGGGCAGGCACAGAATGCAATAGCACATTGCAAACCTAGGCAAAGACACGCACACACATATGCACATACAACATCAACACACGTCAGCACACACACACACACACACACACACACACAAACAGTGCAGACTTTCAGCATTTGGGAAGACAGTACACAAAATTTACTTCTGCTCTTTGCTGCCAAAACCCAAGCCCTCTGCTTCTGAAACTGTCTTGTACCTTAAAAAAATTAAAAATAAGATAAAATCTGTATTCAAACATTCCCTCTAGCAAAATGAAGTGATGGTCCAACCCAATATGCCTACGGTTTACATCTGCTTCCATTTTGGGCCCTCCATTATGGATTCCTCATCCCATGTACAATAAAATCCATACCTAGGTCTGCATAGTTAGACTTCAAAAATTGCTTGCGTCCACAAAAGTACAGCTCAAAGTCAGTTTCATTCGACCTGCGCAAAGTGTATCCATTTTCAAGAGCAGCAAAAGCATCACAGGTATAACGGTAGGTAATGAAACCATAGCTGTCTCTGCAATGGACAAAGAAGAGAGGTTCAAAGCTGGTTAGGCAGCATTAACATATATGCCTGTAACCCTTCCTTCTTTGGAAGACTTCGCTGGTGCCAATGTCTGAACCACTGCATCCATTTATCAGTGTGATTGTCCTGTCAAGCAGCTAAATACTTATTTCTGGGACAGGAAATCTCAACTAGAAAGATTAATAAATAGGGATAAAAGAAAATAAATAAGGTTCTGAACTCAACATGTCATCTACTCAACATCCCATCCTAGTAATCTTATGGCCATGATTTTTTACATATGTCAGCTTCTAAACAAGAAATAATCTTAAGGATTCTTACCCATCATCCCTCAGATTTACTGTGCACTCCTCAATTTCACCAAAAACTTCAAAACGGTCCCTCAGTTCCGTCCGTGTCGTGTCAGGTCTGATTTTACCAACATAAATCACACGGCGTTCGTCCTGGGGAGGGGGTGGGAGTAAGGAGAGACTTTTGCCAGTTCTGGAGATAGGAAGGAAGTTGCCCTCTAGAAACACTCCTAAATGTACAATCATGCATACCAAGAACCACCGAGCATGCTGGTTAAAGCAAAATACCCACTAAAACTGAATGAAAAGATGACAAGTGACCCACGTTTTAGCGTCCATTTCTCCGTACTCTGCATTCACTCTTCCTTCCACATGCCCTACTCTGCCGCTCACTCTCTTCTGCTTTTGCTCCCCAGCTCTGTGCTTCTCTCTCCTGAGCTTCGAAATATTCCAAAAGAAATACGGGTAATGCAGTCTGTTTATCACTGAAGAGCTGAACGATCCCTATTAAATGCTGTAACCCTTGTGACTTGATTCTTAATCTTCACAATTGGTAAGAAACTGACCCATCTCGCAAAACTGTTTAATTTCTCATTTTACTCAGGATTCTCTTAATGAGATGTACAAATTTTGGCATTCCCCAAAACAATGATTCTAAACTCTAGTATAAACAAAAATTACCTGGAGTGCTTATTAAAAATGCAAATTATTGGGGTTTATCCCAGCAGTATTAAAAAAAATTGGAAAAGACAATTCAATGGTCTTCATTTTTAATAAGCACACCCTAGTGATTCTGATGCAGGTGGTCCAAAGACAATAATTTGAAAAATAGTCTTAAAATGTAGGCTATTTTAAGCCATGGGTCTCTGAAGAATAAGAGCTATAAAAGAGGCTATAAATTTCACTTTGCCAGTAAATCTTATTTTAGGAACAGACCAGAAGGGTGTGGCCTAATTTTCACAAATGGAGTCAATATCATCATAATCTGAAAGTTATTAGCAATTTATAACCTACAAAATATGGAAATAATATCTGATAGCCTAAGGATGGACTCCTTTTTCACAAAATAGTAAAAAAACCACCTTCTTAGTATAAGAAGCAATCCTCTATCAGTTGTTCTAAGAAGACAAGGCCGAAGGTGATGATGTCTCTCAAAACTGAGGGAAGGTTTTCCAAGAACGCATGGAGTTAATATAAAGAACATGCTTACCAACTCATCTCTATGCCTACTAAGAACAAACAAGAATGAAGTGAACTTAGGGTTGCCAAGGTTTCAGTTAGGTGGGAGCAGAGACTAGAAAACACAGGACTAAGGCATAGATTCAGCTTGCCCAAGAGTTTTCTCTGGATGTACTGAGAGTATCCTGCCTTGGATGATGTAAAGAGTAATTTGGGCTTAAAGCAAAGAGATGCCCTATGTTATTTCCTGAACGTCTTTCCTTTTCACATGCCCAATATTTAGCAAAGGGCCTGGCAAAGAGAATTCAGTAAGCACTTGTGAAACATAACTAAGAAATCCACAGATCTATAATATATACTCCCCTGTGTGATCTCATCATCTGTGCCTCATCTTCTTTTACCGTATGCAACACTCATATTTCTGTTTCCATCAGAGAAGTTCTTCTGAGCCTCAGACTCAAATTACCAACTGTCTACTTGACATCTCAGGCTGGATGTCCTCTGAGCACTTCAAACTAGACCAACATTCCCAAAACCCAGCTCTCCAGTACCCCCGTCTCCCCTATGGGTCTTTCTCCAATGTTCTGTGTCAGTCAAGTTAATGCCACCGAGCCAGGTATTCAGGACAAAAACCCGAGTGCCTTCCTCGATTCTTCTCTCTCAGTCCCCTCTACACATCCAATCACTCATTAAGCCCTGTTGATTTTTACCTCCTAAATCTCTCTCTCTCTGCTCTGTCTCTCTTATTACATCTCCCCTAACCCAAGCTGCCAGCATCTCTTTCCGGACTAGCATAACAGCCTCTTAACCTGGATTCTCTGTCTTTATTTACCGTTCTCTAATCTATTCCTTCAATTCAATCAGAATAATCTTTGCTAAGGGAACAGGAATCTGATCATGTCAGTTACTGTCTAAAACATATCAGTGGCCTCATAACTTTCAAGGGAAGACCTAAATCATTAACAAGACCCACCAGGCCCTGCGTGGTCTGGACCTGCCTCCATCATGGGCTTCAGCTCCCACTTCCCATTCTTCCCTTTGTTTTCCAGTCACACTGAGCTTCTATCAGCCCCTCATATATACTGTGCTCTTTCCTTTTCCAAGGCCTTTGCACCAGCTGCCCCCTTGCTACTTGTAAGATCCTCCCCACATTGCCTCTCCTTCCTCTTCACCAACATACACGTACTGTCTAAAATTACATTGAACTCAACAATCATTTTCTTCTGAGACTTGAGATGAGGTCTGGCTTCCTATTCGTTGTTCTTACAGTACACTGTTTCTCCTTTATAGTTCTCTGCCCAGTTGTAATTAAATAGTTAATAGTTAATTCATCATTTAATATCCATCTCCCTCTACAATGAAAGTTTCATGAAAGCAGAAACCACATCTGTCCTCTTGACTACTGTATTTTAAGGGTACTTGAAACATACCAGAGTGTCAATGAATATTTGTTGAAAAATCAATCAATCAGCAATCAATTAATCATTTTTAACACTTACCCTTATGCCTACATGTAATCCTTACCCTCTGAGACTCTCTAAGAGAATGAAGAATGAAAGCCAGGTTTGCTGCTTAATCACAGGGAAAACCCTGCCCAGGTAGCTCAGCTGAGTGAATTGACAAAGATTTCCATGATTTGTTTTTACAAGTTTAAGTGGAAGAAGAATGGAGTAACTATATGTTTGCAGCGCTCTCACTCTTAAAGATCACTTCTGAAAATCAGAGGTGGGCTTCCACTGAAACATTCAGTAAAACACAATTCCTCTGACACCAGCCATCAGGCCTAAATAACTGACCAGGTGAAGTAGGGCCAACAGAGTTGACTGCCTGATTCACTTCCATGTAGATTGTATGTCATCTCAATTGAAGGCTGCAATTGTGTTGTTCCAGAGCACCCAGCACATCCTGGAGATCAATAAATATAAATGGATGGCGAGGCTCATCCTGGGGCAGTGTTATACAGTGTTATAAGGAAGTCATAACACCACATTCCATTCTATTTATGCAGCCAGCTCCAGCCAAACAGCCAAATGGGATGGGACTGTTATCTAAACTTTCTGGCGCCTGCTTGCATGGGTGTTATGGTTTTTTAGTTTAGTTTTTTTTTTTTAATGGACCTTTTTGGAAGGTTACTACTGTATAAAGAAAAAGGAGAGGGAAATGCAGAAGAGAGAGAAAGAAATTGAACCATCACAAAGAAATTGCTCAACTACCATTATGGGAATACATACAGCCTACGTATTCAAGGAAATTTGAAGTTAAAGCTAAAATCGACCATATGCACGTCCATATGCAGACATACTGGGACAGTCTCTGAATTGCTTCTTTATACAAAACCGTATGCAACAATGATCCTACAAAGAAGATAAACCAGAGGACCTTTTCGGATACTGATACATTCTGCAGTAAAAAGAAGACACAATCTAGATGGGAAAAACAGAAACCCCAAGGGCTGGTGCACAATCACATAAACTACCTATTTGTCTATCATCTCCTTTTATGAAACACAGGAATGGAACCACGTCTTGCTTCCTCACAAAGATCAGAGATTGAATACATGCTGAAATTCTCATTTTAGAAAATGATTAGAGTGCTTGGTTTTCCTAGTGCTAAAAATGAAACTAAAAGGCATCTGAAGGTCTAAAAGCAAAGACAAAAATCTTTCAAAGATTGGCCAAAATGTCTAGCAAGGAACCGATTATTTTTAACATGTTGCAGTTTTATTAGACAGATGAATAGATTCCATATCTTTAAAAAACCTTAACATTTGCAGCCAATTTTTCAAGACATTAATTTCTAAACAGGAGATGAAAGGAAAAGAAATCAAAATGCTTAATAACATTTTCAACTTCTTAGAGGCTTGGAGGAACTCTAAACCTTTGGAAAAATCTCCTTGAAAAATGATTTTCAGACCAGTTTTCACTATTGAGGAAGATGGAACATTCACCAAATATCTTTTAGTTTCAATTTTCACAAAAGCTAGTTTGCTGATGGGTGGATAACAAAATTGAAGATTTATATTGCATGAACAGGTATAGTAAATCATCATTACATCAAAATACAGGAGGATAAATAAAGAAAAAAATGAACTGAAATTAACTGACTTTGCATTACCAAAATCCTTATCAAAAAGAGAACAGAGCCTCCCAGTTAGCTGGGGAAAACATACAATGGTTGTTTCTCATCAACTGATAAGCTAGTCTTGGTAGAAGGGATGTAACTAAGAGAAAGGGAATTTAGGAGGGAGATTAACATTTATTGAATTCTAATATATGCCAAGTAGTGTGCTTGATGCTTCTGTATGAGTGATCTCCCTAAAATGCTCGCAATGCTAGGTAACAACAAGGAACAGCCTGATATAATTTAGATTTTGGTTCTCAGAACTTGTATTCTACATTTCCAAGTCAGGATAATGTAAAAATTCTTTCTCCTCCGCTAAGGAAACTGCATGTCAACTTCAGCCATGAAAGATGTATATTCATTTCCAGATTAGCTACCAATGTGACTTCCTCAGAAATTCCAAAGAAATTCCAAATACTGTATGTGAGATGAATGGATAAAATCTGTGCCATTGGAGGCTGAATGGTATAGCGAGATCCTCCATCTGAAAGATAAAGTGAGAGGGGCGGATGGTTGTGAAAAGGCACATATGGATAGAAGGAAAGGACAAAACCTTGACAAAAATGTCAAAAAATGTGGGGTTTTTTTTTTCCTCTCTTTCTCTTAGTATTGATTACACTATCTAATTCAGTACTCTTCCTTAGAGTCTAAGGCTGGATCAGTGTGAATAAATCCAGGGTAGTCTACTTAGAGATAACTGCAAGGAAACATACTCAAAAGACAGAAAACACGGAAACTACAGACTGAGAGAATGTGGGATAACTTTCAATTAAAAAAAAATTTTTTTAATGGTAACCTCTAGAAGATGAATGGGAAGAATGAAGTAGAAGTAGATGGAAGGAAGCAAGAATGTA